TGTGAGGGACCGGTGCTCCCCGTCTGAGCCGTGGCCGGGGGGTGAGGGACCGGTGCTCCCCCCCATCTGAGCCGTGGCCGGGGTGTGAGGGACCGGTGCTCCCCCTGTGTGAGCCGTGGCCGGGGTGTGAGGGACTGGTGGATAGAGCATCAGCCTGTGGACCAGAGGGTCCCGGGTTCGATTCCAGTCAAGGGCATGTATCTTGGTTGCAGGCTCCTCCCCGGCCCGGGCCCTGGTCAGGGTGCCTGCAGGAGGCAGCCCATTGATGATTCTCTCACATCGGTGTTTCTCTCTGTCTCTCCCTCTCCCTTCCTCTCTCCCTAAAAATCAATGGAAAATATTCTCGGTGACGACTGACCACAACGACCACGAGATACTGATCCCTGCACCTTCGGAGAGGAGTGTCCGCGTTCCCTGTGTCCTGCTTCTGCGCTGATACCGTGTCTCCACTTCCTTTGTGTCCACAGTTTATCCACCTCTGTGTGTGGCTACAGAGGGGCTGCTTTTACTGCTGATGCAGCACATCACTCGGCCTTTAATGACTCCTCAGGTGTCGTTCCGCTGTGGTGCCTTCCTCATCTGTTTTGAAGGAATTTCCACTCTGGCGAGTTTTAAGTTGGTTTTGGGCAAGGGAGAGGGTCGCCTCTGCAGTGCGGCTGCGAGTCCTGTGCTGTGCGCTGGCACCACAGCCTGACGGGTGAGGTGGGCTCCCTGGGCTCCGCCTGCCCTGGAGCTGTCAGCCGGGAGCACAGGGCTGAGGGAGGCGGGCGTTTGGGGGGCAGAGCAAGGCAGAAGCGTGAGGAGCGTGGCTGTCTCACCTGCCTGCCCTTGAAGCTCCGTCTAAAGCACCCACAAGCCCTAGAAGGTGTGCTCAATGGTTAGAACACCGGCCTGCAGACTGAAGGGTCCCGTTCTATTCCATTCAAGGGCACCACCTCGGTGGAGGCTGTGGGGGAGGCAATCAATTGCAGTGTCTCTCACATCAATGTTTCCCTCCCTCCCTCCCACTCTCTTAAAAGTCAATGGAAAAATACCCTCGGGTGAGGATTGACCAAATAAGAATAAGAATTAAACACCCACGGAGCCCACGGAGGCCCAGGGCGGTGCCGGGGGTCTGTTCTAGTGGACTCTGCAGACGTGGACCGGGCCCCCGTTCCGGTTTGAGTCTCCCCCCACTCGTCCCGGGTGGAGGGCAGGGCCTGGCGCCGTGGGCACAGGGCGACTTCATTGTGTGAGCGCGTGAGGAGGGAAGCGGTGATGCCGGCGGAGCCCACTCGCCTGCGAGCAGGAGGCCCTTCGTGCTCCCCCGTGTCTGACACGGTGACCCAGGCTCGGGGTCAGGGACGGCTGCCAGGTCGGGGCTCAGCTTGCCCCTGACTCCCAGCGCTCAGGAGGGAGTGGACTCCACCTCCGTCCGCCTCCCTCCGCCTCCGTCCGCCTGGTCCCAGAGACCAGAGTCTGTGTTCCCCTCCGGCGCCCTCCCCCAGCCCCCTCTGAGAGGCCTCCTGAGGCTCCTGCAGCCTCTGCCAGGCCCGTCCGGGGGCACTCGCCTGTCCTGCACGCAGACCCGAGGGGTCACTCCTCCAGTCACGCTGGGGTGACTGCTCGTTATTGATCAGCTGCGGCCTTTTCCGTCCCCCCCCCGTACTACCCCCTACGCTCCCAGACCTGGGAGGACGAGAGGGGAGCATGGCTGCCCCATGTCACCGACCTGAGACGCGCTGTTTCTCCGGACGGGAGTTCGGAGCGATGATGGTCCGCGTGGGTGCATTGCCCACACTCCCTCCTGCCGGTCAGTTTCCGGACGTGGTGGGAAGGGGCTTTGCCAGCCGCTGGGGCAGGAGCTGGAGGCGGGGCCAGTCCCTGGGCAGGTGAGGAGGAGGAGGAGGCTAAAACCTCACCCAGTGATGATGATGGTGAGGCTCTTTATTTTGTCACTCGATGGCTGACCTTCCTGTTGAGGAGAAAGCCCTTCGCCCGTGAATACATTTTCTTGGATGAATTGGAGGCTGGAGGGACGGTTTCAATGGGTGTTCCTTTTGATCCCTTTTAAAACTGGGCTAAAATACCCATAACGGAACATTCACCATCCTGACCATGCTTAGGTGCACTGGTCGGTAGCATCGCGCACACTCACACCACCGTCCCGCCATCATCCCAGAACCTTCCGTCTTCCTGAACGGACTCTGCCCCATGAACACGCCCCCCGCCCGCCCCGGCCGGCTCTGCTTCCTGTCTGAGCGAGTGTGTCCTCCGGCCCGTCCACCGGGTAGCGGGTCAGAGTTCCCTCCCGTCTAGGCTGAGTCACGTCCTCTGTCAGGATGGACCGCACGGTGTGCACCCCTTCCCTCCCGTCCGAGGCCGCGGGGCTGCCCCCCGTTG